TTAATTTATTGAGCGCTTATTCCAAGCATTTTCGCAACAAGATTAATAGAAAACCCAGCCAAAAGTTGCTCCAAGATCCATCCTAATAATCTCTGATACCTTCGGCTAGTTTTCCTCCGTGACCTACATAACGCATTCGATCACATCCGTATGAGCGACTGCGTTGGCATGTTTCACCGTTCCTCAACATCAAAACAAACCTCCAATACTCACCAATGCTAGTGCGCAATAACCGTTCTCACTGACTCACACTGACATCCGCCAGGCACCCTGACCCACTCGTGACCACCTCCTTCTTCTGCCTCTGCCTCTTCGTCATGCTGTCCACCACCTTTCACCTTCCACGATCGAGAAATAGCAGTAAACAGCATGCACACCGCCGGTTAGATATTCTAACCAAGGTTGATCCTGCGACCGACGCACGGAGTCACAAATAACAAAAACAACAACCCCCGAAAACTCTCCTAATAGGTGATGCAATACTATTATACATTTAGTAGGGTGCGCTCGGCAATTATTTCATCTGCGAAATAAACAACGCAAAAATCGCCGCAAAACATCGTTGTTGATCGCGATGTCGATGTGTTTTTTGCGGTGGGGTTGGTTGGTGGGTGGCAGAGGGCGAGAGAACCTAACGGACCCGCGCTGTAGCACCTTACTTAGTATCCAAAATCCGACTCAATCAAGGTGCTTGAATAGTTTGACTTCCCCCATTTTCCCATTCAACTCACCACGAAGAGACCACGATCATCACGGGGGGGGTTGAGGTGTGCAAGCCCCGTTGGGGTTGGCCTTGGTGCAGCAACAACATCAACCACCATCGCGCGATCGCGACATCATAATAATGGTAATGAGCAGTGGCGGTGGCCGCGGCAACGAAAAAACGTGAGCGGCGTGCGCGCAGCGGGTCAGGTTTTTACCAGCAGAGCAGCCAGCGCCGAAAATGGTGGCCACTGAGCCACATTCCAACTTCCTTTTATTATGCGCAAGCAGCAGGTCTCTCCGCCTGATGGCCGGCAAAGGGTGCCAAAGAGGGGATGGGGGGTTATGTTTGTGGATCAACGCAACCACCACCATGGAGAACATGAGTGCTAAATATACACGCGCATACAAGAAGGGGAAAGTGGGTCGAACTTTTCGGGGGTTAGGAGCCAAGGACTCCCCAGCTTAAATTTAGACATTGACAGAAGGTTTGAATTTAGATATTAAATTTCACGGAAATGGCAGCGATAGGGCTGCTTGGGCTGTAATCATAGTCAAATCTTCCTAACTCGAGATTGAGGAGGATATCGAATGATAGAGGTGAGCTATTGACTGAGTTGTAAGGCACCCAACAAATAGTTAAAGTTGAACCATAGCTTCAGCTAGAAATAAGTTTTTTTCGGCTAAAAACCGCCTTATTCAGCTTTTAAAAATCCAAAATGTTATTGGGTAGGCTTTTTCAAGTGAATTTAATTCAGTCTTAGAACAAGCTAGTAACCAGGCAATTAGTCGGAACTCACCTAGGATGTTTGCCAGAATGTTGTAGTTAATCTTCTCAGCATTTTTTTTCTTGCTGTAGGAGATTTTTAGCCGTAGGCTAGTTCATCTCCGTAAAGGGTGGGAAGCCTTAGAAATAGGTCCCCCAGCCACAGTGCAGTATAGCTTCGCCGCCTTCAAAAAGCGCAGTACAGCTGCTTGAGTTGAGGGCACGTCTGCTAGCGTGTCCCGTACGCTGGCAGGCAGACCGTGTAGGCAACGAAGGTGCTCGAATTGTGGACATACGCTTAACACGTGCTCCACCGTCGAAGGAATATTGCAGAATTCACAGGTCTTCCTGAAGGGTCCTCCGCTGAAATCTTGTGAGATTAGGGAGTGTCCTGTCCGGAGTCTGGAAAAAATCCTCTGATCTCGCAGGCTTGCAAGGTCCGTCCACTTTCCGATGTCACCTAATAAACGGAAGTCTGGCAGTGGACCATTCCGTTGCCCACGCTGTCCGCACTGTGCAAGTGATCCATCTCTTCACGTCCTGCAACGGTACCTTGTGCGAGTACCGAGGACCCGATGGGCCTGACCCGGCTAGGTTGTCCACCTCGATGTTCCCTGGGATCCCGCAGTGTCCGGAAATCCATGTGTTCTGTAGTGTTTGGTGGCGCAACCTTCAAGATGCCCTGGATCCAGGGGTGGACCGTGACCTCCGACCAAAGGGCCTGAATAACACTGTGGGAGTCCGACAGGATCAGGATTGGGCAATCCGCAGGACGGCATGAAGAATAGCCGCTGCTTCTGCCGAGAACAGCGAACATTGTTTTGGCAGACTTCTACTCGTTGGGGAAATGTCACCAGCGATTCCCATTCCGACTCCAGCTCTGGATCTTGACCCGTCCGTGTAACGATGCATGTAGTTTGGGTACAATCCGGTCAGCTCTGCTACCGATATTCTAACGGCTACGGAATTGTCCCCGGCTCTGAACTTCTCCTTTATCCGGCTGTCGATGTTTGGTGCGGGAGATTGTCAACTCATATCTCCGTACCAGTGAATCTTGGCCACTGGGGGGAGCTCTACGTTGGCGATTGTACGGAGAACTCTGTCCCCCTCGCTGAGGAGGCAGATTCTGTCGTTTCCGGAGGTATTTGCTGAAAATGCAGCGGCTTTGTTGGCAATGGCTGCGTAGATGCGGTACCGGAAAGGGAGAGTGCCGGCTTCGACACAGCTGGCATCGGCTGGCGTCGAGGGTAGGAGACCGGAGATGATGCGCGTGTAGCTATTGTACACCGGAGCGAGTATTTGTATTGCCTTTTCGGTAGCGATGCAGGTCAGCTTCAGTCCATACATCAGCCGGTTGTCTACGATGGCCCGGGCAACACGGAAACGTACTTCTCTGTTGCTGGACCGGTGGGGACGAGAGATTGTGCGGATGAGGTTGATCCTGCTGCGACTGCTGGTCTTGACCCCTTGAAGGTGCTGGTCAATGACAACCCCCAGCAGCTTGATTACCGATCTTTATGGGAGGTCCGCAGATACGATGTCGGTACTGGCAAACGTGGCACCTAGCGCTCTTTCCAGCAGACAGCTGAAAACCTTTCGAAGCGGCCCATCTGGCTACGGCGTAAACCCCTGCTTGGGCTCTAATCCTCGTTCGTCCCGGAGTTTGACCTGTGGCTACGATTAGCACGTCGTCTGCGTACACGAAAATGTAGATGTTCGCTGATAACCGCTCGAAGACACTGTTCATGGCTGCCAGGAACAAAGTGACAGCGATCACAGAACCTTGGGGAACGCCACAGAACCTCGGAAGGATCTGCCAGTCAGGAAATTTTGGACGAAATGTATGATATGGCCGCTAAGGCCCCATCTGACGAGTTGCTTCAGTACCGCGGGCGTCCATGTACGGTTGAAGGCCTTCGCAATGTCCAGGGAAACCAACTCCGTATGGAGACCATTATCCTTGGCATCCTTGAGAAGCTCTCCTAGCGTCGCAAAATACGTAGATGTACCGTGGCCTTGCCGGAATGCGTGTTGGCGATGGTCTAAAAAGCCGCCAAACTCGAAAAACTGCTTCAGTCGTCGGTTGACCTTCCGCTCGAAAACCTTTGCCATGCAGCAGGTGAGCGCATTGGGTCGAAACTTCGCCACATCCCGTGTCGGCTTGTTTGCTTTGGGGATGGGGACAACCAAGCTCTCCCTCCAATGCTCTGGATACGAGTCTGTCTGCCAAAGCTGGTTGAAGAGTTACAGCATTTTTACTTTACCCGGGATAGGCAAGTTCGGCTGATTTCCCGTTGTTTCTACTAAGCGCAAACTGAAGCTCCTGCCAGGTGAAATCGTGATTGATCTTCAGGTTGTTCGTGTCCGGAGAAACTCGAAAACTGCTTACGGACGAAGTCGATGGGTTTGCTAGCCGTTGAAAGGTCGCCTCGTACTTGGAAATCGCAGAGAGGTCAGCGAAATAGTCGCCAAGCTTATCTGCAACGATTCCGGGGTCGGAGACTGCAGCGCCGTCTACCTGTATATGCAGTGTGGCCGTACGGCGCTTGCCACTGAGGGCGTTGACCTTACCCCAGAGTTCCGCCGAAGACTGTGAGGCATTTATGCTTTCGAGGAAGTCCGGATCGTTTGGCATCTCGGACCAATTGGCGACACTGGTTGTGCCGTTTTTGATAGATGCAGAGTGCGTTTTCCCTATCCGGATCATCTATGGGAAGCCGATTGACTCGTCGAAGGGCTTTTTGCCGGGAAGAAGGCAGTTATTCTTCGTTTCCTCGTTCACCATCTGAGGGCTTTACGCCCCGGAATGCTGTTGGTTTTTGGGATGGTTTCTGACGCAGCTGTGTTTATTGCTTCAGTGAGACTCTCGATGCTGTCAGGGTTACGTTGTTGAAGGAGCGACTGGAAGGTTTCACCGTAACTCTCCCAATCGGCTTCGTCATAGCGCCACCGAGGTATCCGCGTTTCTGCCGGTATAGCGGCGGCAAAAAGTTGCACCTTAACCGGCTCCACTGCATTTTTCCAGCGAGGGAACGTCTAACAGCAGTTACATCGATCGCCGTGGTGTACCGTCCATTGAAAAAGGTCGGCGATCCGTCATTAAGCATGATCAAAGGGAGGATTTCAAACTAGAGCTAGAGTGGTGCGCGTTCAAGTCACCCAAAAATATACGCGGTTCAGGTAGGTTATCGAAGATGCTGTCGATTTGACCGTTGAGGTTTGCTAATCTCCCACAAGGCAGGTATGCGCATGCTATTGCGATGTTGGCTGGTTCCTCCAAGCAAACTCCAAAAATGGGAAGCTCTAAGTCAAGGTCGATAAACCGAAACGGGACCTCCTTCAGAACCCCGATGGCGACGGAGTGTCGGAAATTGTTCCCACGTTTAGCTGTCCAGCAGTATCTTCCGCCCAACGAACGGTTCATCTGCTCAACTGTTCCCTTGTTGACTTCCTGGAGTGCTATCACCCAGGGAGAATTGGCTTGAAATAGCAGCTCCAAATCCGCTAGATGATGCAAGAAACCGTTGATGTTTTATTGCAACAGGAACTTTATCGGCTTTGGCAAGGCCGGTAGGGGGTACGAGCTGTACGAACCCGAGGACCCAGTTTCATCACGGTGATGGCTGCTGCTCTGGTCGTCGGGTAGGCTAATATCGAACATACTCGATGCATCGTAGTGCTGCGAAACGGACGAAAGGTCGATTTAGTATGCCGAATGAGCGAATGAGACAGAGCCCCACCAAAGGCAGGTGGAGTCGTTCCACCCACCCTGGGCAGAGATGTCCCAACGGAAGCGGAGGATGTGCTACCCGGTGACGTTCTAGTGACTTCGGTCGTTGTGGCGGCGGTTTCGATTCCCTCGGAGTCCTTCGGGGAATGGGTTGATGAGCTCTTATCCGTCCCGATATCACGAGCAGACTTGACTCCCTCGTTGTCCGTAGGGGGATAAGCGTTTCCGCCCTTGTGCGTCCCTCTTCCAGACTTCCCCCGGCGCCGGGGGGTTGCGGTCAGTTCCGGTGTGGGAGTGGCGTCCGCACCGACGGGGCCCCGGCTACCAGGGGCTACCGCTGGGCTCTTCTGTTTATTCTTCGCCCGAGGACCGCAGGTTGGTTCGAGCGTCGGGGGGGTGTCCGAAGATTCCGGTTGGGATATAGCTTCCGGTTCAACGGTGCCCCGGCTACCCGAGGCCATACACAGGTATGCTTGGCGATGGTTGTTGCGAGTGTTCGAAGTACTTGGTGGTGGTGAGTTGGACATTGGAGATTTCCGAGAGGATGGCGAGGGTCTGATAACCGGTGGTTGGAGGTGATTGCGAAACAATTACTTCCATTTTCCTTTGGTAGGTTTGCGATGCGGTTTATTGAAAAAAAAAAATCGGGCATGGACACTTCGAGATATTAGGGCTTTTAACAATTTATGCTTAAAATTAAAAAAAAAGAAAATTTCTCCCAGAAAGATATTATTGTTCCCTTCAACTTTATCGCACACGTCATTTCGATTATGCCCCTAATTTGAGCCCATACATAAATTCAGCAATCGACTTAATTTTCAATAGCGACCAAAAATATCCATTAGTACCTTCTCAATGACGCGTTCATCTAGATAAAATTGATAAATAGCAGATTTTTTAGCGATGGGCCCAATCTTAGACCCATTGGCCAACATTAGAGCCATTTCCCCCATATGCCTTAAAATATTTTTTTTATATAAGGGAACTTACGTATTATCGTCTTACGTCCGCGCTTCTTTTAGCATTTTCTCAGCGTCACGCACACATATGACGTGTTTGTTTGCTTACATTTGTTTGCTCCTTGGTCAAATTTAAGCAAAAATGTGAATCATTGCCCATAACAAACAATTGTGTAAATCTGAGAAGGTAAAGTTTTTCAGATTCATCGTTTAGCGTGGAACTGCTCACCCCTTAAAAAACCTACAAGAGAAACGCAATACCCGAGTAGCACACTTTCATCACAATAAGTTACAGCAACTTGTTTATGACTGAAATAAGTCGTATATAAGTTTCTACAATTGATTTGTGACAAGCGTGCTACTAGGGTAGTGTCCTGACATAAAATTATCTCTTCAGTGAAGTCTTCACCATTGAAATTTTCTTGTTCTACGCCCCCAAAATGGGTTAAAATGATATAAGTGCCTATAACTCTTCGAAAACATCTCAAATTGTTGTGACTTTTCGGGGGAAAGTTTGGCTCTGAAAGATCTCCTAAATATGTGTAAAATACAATGAGTTTTATTTTGCACGGGCTACAAAAACCTCAAACGATCTTTTGCCCCACCAAATTTTAAATATTTCTTGTGGTGTAAACATTCAGGCGTGTAAATTTGTATTTCTTATCACGCCAACTACCAACTTGCAAGAAATATTTTTATCAAAAATAGATACCATATTTGTAATATTTCATTAAATGACTCATAACTATACATGATTTATCACTGTGTGTTTTATCTATTAATGTATGTGCTATTTTGGTGGTTTTTAAACATTTTGGTGATGCTGTCATGTTGACACTTTTCAGGTTATTTAGTCATTTTCAAGGCTATTTTGAGGGTTTTCAGGCTGTTGATGATTTAAGGCCCTTTTACCATTTTAACAGTTTTGAGACCATTTTGACGTATTTAATGCCGTTTTGGTGCTCTTGGAACCACTTTGGAATTTCAAGCTTGAAAAAATACCTCCTCTTCTGGTCCTCTCCAGCTCACGATAAAAATTCCATCCCCCCATACAGCACCTCCTCCACTGTCTGGGCTAATTTTAGGCCCCCGGGTTCCATTAAGCCGACTGCCTTTGGCGATACCTCATTCCAAAGACCCAAACAGCCACTTACACCAATGCGATGGGTCAGACAGAACTAACGGACACGGTCCAAAGTCAATTAAAATCTCATCAGTCTACCACTTTTCTTAGCATTCAATCAGCTGAGCCTGCTGCCTCGGTTCGATTGCAAATCTCGCCGTGAAAGCCCCGAGGGGTGACAGCAATCAACGTATCACTCACGCACACTGCACACTGACTGGTAGCTAGCTGGCCGGTAGCAACAGGTGAACGGAACGGAAATGACTGCCGTAGGATCAATACCTATGCGCTGACGAGCCTATCAGTATATGTGATGCAGGACATTGAACCACTTTCGCGCTCCACGCGAGCGCGGATATGTTGAATGTCACAACCTAGATTACAACCAGCAGACCAGACCAGACTGGATTTTATCGATCAACTATGTCGGTCCCTCCACTGCCTCCCCCTCCCCCGCAGCAGTCAACTACAGCCAGCTAATCGATTCGGAACGAGTGGTGTGTGGACGTCCAAATTGTATATTTTAGAAGGGAAATTACAATCAAATTTTACCTGATTTCAAAATGGAATCGTGATTGATTGCAAACAGGATTGAAACTTTCCGCCTTGAGTCATCCGCCATCCATCTTACCATCCGTTACCGACGAAAAACTATCGATCAACCACTGCGAGAGATGAAAATCCGCTTTCCTCCGACGCGCCACCAACCCGTCTCCCTCCGTAGGGTGGAAAGTAGGGTGCGAAAATCGAAGGAAATCGAAACCGAATGTGTGCACCCGCCCCCCAGTCTTTGCATAGTTTTCTGTGAAGTATGTGCGCGCATCGATGCATCTGCCCGGCTACGATAATTATCATGCACTTTTTTTTTCTCGCAACCGAGCTCAGACCACTTGGATAAGTCCGTAGATTAATCACAATGCAATTTGAATAATCTGGGAATTAATTGGTTGCCAGCTTCGAAGTTATCTCGCTTTTCCTAAATTGAGAACACGTCCGCCCTCCGAAGCGGAGACCTGTGCAGGTTTTTTGCCTTGTTATTGTTATGATTGATTGCGAAGTTTGGCGTGAAAAGCTTGGTTTGTCCCAAGGGGACGATCAATTGGATGATTCTTTAAGATGAGCTTTTTCAATTGTTTGCAATGACACGATGGTATGATTTATTGCATTTTAATAGGTTTGTTTGCTCCAGGAAAAAAAAACTGCAGCTTCATGTAAGTGTCTCAGATAGCTTAGTCAGTAATGGCACGGAATTTCCAAACCGGAGGTGGCGGGTTGGATTCCTGGTCCGTTTGAGGAAATTTTCTCGGCTTCCCGGGGTTTACAGCATCGATGACAAGCACCTTTTGTGTATAATATTAAATTGAACGCTTTGTGCGAAACAGTTTTTTTTCTAGATGTTTTAAGTTTTACTGAGTTACAGAATTACCCAAGTAACCAACAAGCCCGCTAATTCGCCTCTTTGCAATATAAGGATAATATAAAGCTTAGCATGCCCTATTTTAGCCGTGTATCAGCCTTATATTGCAAAAAGGCGAATTTTCGGGCTTGCTGGTTACTTGGGTACAAAGGGCCTATTTGGTTGAGTAAAAAATAGAATGGTTGGACTGTTTAAGAAATGTTTAACTTGAATTAGATCTAGGACCACTTCTTTTAGATTTTGAATTAAGTGCAGTAATTAATACTGTGACACTAAAGTGAACATTTCTAAATAATTTTAGCGCGCATTCAATGGATAGAAATTCTTCATAAAACGAATGAAAAGTCCCTTCGGATTCTCGACTTTTCGCAGAATTTCTTAGAAGTTCTCAGTGAAATTCCATATTAGTTGTGAGGACTTCAAATGTGATTGTGAGGAGAATTTCAAGCAAAACTTAAGGATTGCTTGCAAGTATTACCACCTAATTTCTGGTGATTCTTAAGAATAATACCAAGGAAGTTCTGAACTGATTTCCAGGTTATTTTCAAGGAAAATTCAAGAGAAATTAGACAACCAAGGTGGTTCTAAAGGGTGTCCCACATCAAATTGCATCACGAAAAAAACGCTGTAGAAAATTACCCATTGGATATTTTCTCTTGAAAATTTGGGTAAAAGTAGTTTAGAGTGTATTGTTTACACTGTATTTTTATCGCTGTCAGTTTTTCGATAGTTGGAAAAATGGCGTCACCCGAAAAGCAACGTCGTGAATTGATTTTGCACGAGCAACTGGAAATTCATCAACTCTCTCATCGGGACATCGGAAAACAACTCGGAATCGTGCAGTCAACGGTGAGTCGTGTGATTAAACGTTATTACGAAACTCTGAGCATCGAACGGAAGGAGAAGTGCGGTCAGAATGGATGTACTATTAGTGATCAGGATCACAAACGTGTCGTGACAGCGTTTAACCGTTTAACCGTTCCGGCAGCTTTCGGGGCTACTGTTCTCCACCGCCCAGCACAAGTTTGATGTTCCGAAGGAAGTAAGGAAGCAGAAACTTTCAAAGTTTGCCAAGAAATACATGATTTGGCAAGCGATCTGCTCATGTGGCAAACGGAGTGCGCCGTTTGTGACTACCGGGACTGTAAATGGGGAGATCTACCTCAAGGAGTGTCTACATAAGCGTCTGCTTCCTCTGCTCTGTTGAAGCGAGGGCCCTACGATCTTCTGGCCGGATCTAGCTTCGTGCCACTATTCAAATGTTGTACTGGAGTGGTACCCAAAGACATGACCAACCCCCCACCCCTCCCAACGCACCGGAACTAAGGCCCATCGAAAAATACTGGGCTATTATGAAGCAGGCACTACGGAAGCAACCCAAGGAGGTCAAATCTGAGGAAGACATGAAGAAAAGTGGGTTTCCGTACAGAAGAAGCTGCAGCCAGATGTTGTTCTGAACCTAATGAGTGGAGTTCATCGTAAGGTTATGGTATTGAAGTTAAATGAAACAATTATGCCAAAAGCTTAAAATAGGGTTATATTTAATTAATTAAATCTTCAACATAATGTTGTACAGATATTTTCTAGGCTAGGTGTCGAATTCTATGTCTGTAAGTAGACTTACTAATGTTAAAATCATATACATCAAACGTTTCATTAAACACACGACAGCACAAAGTCCACGGTTCGTTGAATCCATAGTTGGTCCGATGAGTAGGTTGCCACAGAAGCGTGTAACTACGTAGAACTCTTTGAGGAGCATTGATGTAGATTTGGCTCACAAGAGAGTTGCAATCCACGTCACCGTTAAGCAATCCAAACACGAAGAGTCGCTGAAGTAGTTTCCTCCTTGCTGCCAACGTGTCCAGGTCAATCAGCCTGCACCGTTCTTCGTAACGCGGCTAATTTACCGAATCGTTCCAGGGCAGAACACTTAAAGCGTATCTTACGAAGTTTCGCTGAATAGCTTCGATTCAGTTAGCTTGAATAGCGTGAAAGGGTGCCCACACAACAACAGCATACTCTAGAAGACTGCGGACGAGAGCACAGTATAGTG